TTGAATGGCTCCATTTTGAGCTCTGGTAAACGTGTGTCTGGTAATAAAGGAGTGTCCTTGACCTTGTTTTCTCCAATGCTTTGTTCTTCTTGAGTTCGACTTTGAATGCGTTGTGACTCTCGTGTTCGTTCACTACGCTCACTAGCCTCTGTAATTCTTTCCTCCATTTCCAAAAGGAGGAAGTCTAACTCGCCTATAATTCCTCGGGCCTGTTCTGCGAAGTCCATGAAATGGACCCACACTTGTCCTTCCTGTACATTAGGAGGAAACGTATTGTACAGCTGCTCCTCAGCTTCCAAATCTCCTCCATCCAGGAGATCAATAAATCCTGTCCACTCGTGATCGAGAGTTTCTATTCGCTCAAGTGTGCGAATCAACTGATGTCTTTCAGCCCGGAGGCGTGCCGGGTTTTGTGCTTCTTGTTCATTACCCAAAAGGGTGGTTGCCGCGATAATATGATCCTTGAGGGCTCTCAGAGCTAGCCCAATTTTCCTTCGAATATGTCCTGAAGATGGCATTGTGATAAGCGATTATAATAATCTGCTTAAAAGCGTTGGACTAGCTAATTTAGTCCAAAAACGCAAAAGCTTAAGGAACTTGTGCCTTTAAGCTAAAAAAATAAACTCGCTGAAGACTGACTATCAAAGTCAGAAAATTGATGAAAATATGAGAAGAGAGCACTTTTGGTATATTTTGTGCTAAATTGATGTTTACCGCGACTGGTAAGTGGCAGCACAAAGTTCTCTTCTCAAAAGAGAAAAATAAACGCAGATGTGTGAAAAATGTAAATAAACACTAAAAATGTAAAGTCAGTCGCTCTGACTTAACCGTGTAATTGGCCGACGGGTTGGCCAAAACAAAAGAAATGACTTGCTCACAGAGCGAAAAGTCAGTGTTCTTTAAACTCGTGTTGCCGCGCTCTAAAATGCGCCAATCGTGTGAATGGCCAAAGTTATGGCCAAACAAAAGAAAAGGCTTTCGTGTCCCTTTTCTTCTCAAAAAATGTGCAAAAATGCACCAACTTGTAAACTTGTTGATTGGCCGATGATTTGGCCAAATAAATTCCTTTCTTGTTTTTCGTGTAAAATTGTGCAAAAATGTGCACAACTGATGAAATGTGTTAAGACCTAAGTTTTGGTAAACAAAGGAATGACTTCTTTCAAGAAAAATGTGCAAAATAAGCACAAAAAAATTGCTAGCAAAGAGCAAAGATTGAAATTGTAGAAAAGGGGATGAGCGGGTTTGTTCGCGGAAAAAACTGCGTCCTTCAAGGAGCGTGAATGTATGTCGGTCCGCTTGAGGGATCACGACTTTGCGCACTTTGTTGTGCGGGCTTGTGGGGTAAGGCTGTGAATCGGATAGTTTCCGACTTAAGGATTACTCTCCAGGAGTAATAGATGATGAACTCGTGAACTGCTGACTTGTGAGAAGATAAATGTTGACTTACTCTCCAAGAGTAAGTATTCGTGTGCTGCTGGCTGATGAGCAGATAACGGTTGGCTCTGGTGGCCAAAACCGCGTGTTCAGGATGAGAACACAAAATTTAGCCTAAAAAGGCAGACGTGTTGATTGGCACAATTGCCTGAAGAAACGGGGGCAGTGCGATTGGACTGCGGACCCGTACGGGGCTCCAATTTTTATGTGCCCAAAAGCCCTTTCGGGTGGACACACAATTTGTACGGCCTCCGGCTATGGGAGGGACGGACGCTTATAAAGGGAGGACAGAGAACTCAAAAGTTCTCTTAAACTTATAAGCGATGATGACGACGACAGCCTACCCAAAATCCCCAAAAATACACACACCAAAGAAGAAAAGATTTATTTAATTAACAAATAAATTTAGCGGTCCGATAACAGCTCGGGATCCGCGGTGTGAATAAATTGGTGATTAAAATATGTGGTGAAAATGCGAACAAATAATTTAAGTTAGTGCTCCGCTCTCCTGCTCCCAGTTGAAGGGAGAAAAGTTGGTTTAATTGATTGGGTTTAAAGGAATTAGAAAATTATAAGATTTTGAGAGAAGTTGGAAATTGAAAGAAGATTGAAAGAAGTGATTTTAGGGACAGCCGAGCGCTAACTTGACAGCCAAAAGTAGGCGTGGTTAAACAAAATAAATTGTGGGCGGTAAATAAAAATAGTACGTAAATATAACAATGCGAGAGGAATGGGAAAATAGTGTAGGGCTTATGCCCTTTTGGGCACAACTCTCTTTAATGAAACCGCCAATTAAAATAGAAAATATTTAAATAAAAAACAATAGAAAATAAATTTCTAAATAATTTTTAGATAAAATATTTTTATTACAAAATTATTGAAATATGTAGAACGAGAAAGAAAAAAGAAGAAAGGAAATGAAAGTTTATAACAATTCCTCTCCCTCGATTGACCTAAGGAAATGGCCGTAAAAATACGAGAGGAATGCGCAGAGAAATTTTAAAAGTACTTTGAGGAATTTTATGTTTTTCTTGCTAACTAAAATATTTTTAATTCTTCTATTTATTTATTATAATCTTCTATTTTTTAAAAATAAATATTTTTTATTTAAAGAATATATTTCTTTTCTTAACTAAATATACAGTCGTCGACATAAAGATAGGGACAAGAGTAATTTAAATTTAAATTCTTAATTTTTCATTCAAAAAATACGTTCTATATATCAATCGAAAGCTCTATTCGTATCTCAGTTGACATGTTTCTGCATTTTTCATGAAATCGAAAATTGGTCGAGATAATCCGGATCTACCGGATATACCAAATCCCATATCCTCGGAAAAATTTTTCGGAAGAAATTTGACAAACCCATTTGATAAAGCATATTTTTGTGAGTATTTTCCACAAAACCGCTTAAAAATATCTTTGTCCCGTCCAGAGATATGATTTTTTTAAAATCGCATTTTTCGTCAATTTTTGCAAAAAATTCAATTTTTAAGGGAAAAATGCGATTCTCAAAAAATCATATCTCTGGACCGGACAAAGATATTTTTAAGCGGTTTTGTGGAAAATACTCACAAAAATATGCTTTATCAAATGGGTTTGTCAAATTTCTTCCGAAAAATTTTTCCGAGGATATGGGATTTGGTATATCCGGTAGATCCGGATTATCTCGACCAATTTTCGATTTCATGAAAAATGCAGAAACATGTCAACTGAGATACGAATAGAGCTTTCGATTGATATATAGAACGTATTTTTTGAATGAAAAATTAAGAATTTAAATTTAAATTACTCTTGTCCCTATCTTTATGTCGACTACTGTATTTTTGTTTAATTACAAATTTTTTGTAGAAATACTTAACTAAAACCAATAATATTTTGTATCCCAGTCAGAAATATTTAAAGACCACATCCCAACTGTCCCACTCCCAAATGACCCGTTCTGCTTCTAATTTTAAATATAAAACGGAAAAACAAATTATAACAACTACTTTTACAAAAAAAAAGAGAAAATATCTCCGCCGGTTTTTCTTTAAAAATAAATAAAAATATTATTTTATTTTATTATCGTCATCGATGCGAAACGCAGTTTTAAAGAGAGAATTTTTATTTTCTTTTATGTGAACGGTACAAAAATCTAAAATCTACACACCGGTTTTATGACCAATTATGTGAACAGAGCGAGAAAGAAAAGCTGTCAAATGCCCCGGGCCGGTGGCTTAATTATGGCGTTATTATGGAAGGAAAGGAAGGAATGTTCTTTTAACAAGGGAAAGTAAAAAAGAGAGAGGATCAGAAAGAAAATGGCAAAACCGGCTGGTGGTGGTCAGTTAGCGATTTAATATTAAATAAAAAGGAAAATTTTCAATAAAAATTTTAGAGATATACAAAGTATACAAATGCCTGAAAAGAAGTGGCCGTTTGGTCAAATTTTAAGAATATCGGTCCGAGGTATAAACAAAAACTTGGAAAATATTAAAAATGTGAATATTTTGAAGCTAAATTTACTCACAAATTTTTGGATTAGAATATCTCCCTCCATTTAATATTTAAAAACAACCTACTTTACACCTAACACTTTGTAGATCTAATGCCCAAGCAACAGATTTCAATGCTTCAGCCGATTCTTGAACCCAATGTCTTCCAATCTATTTTTTAAATTAAATTATAACAAAAAAATCTTTTTTAATTTTATTTTCTACATTCTAAAGAATGGGGAAAATTAAAAGGGAAGAACTTTAAAGGAATTTAGCAATTCCTTAATTTTTAATCAAATAAACAAACAAAAAATATTTTTAAAAGAATTTTATCAAAAATAAATTTTTGTTCGTTTGTTTATTTAAAAAAGGGGGACAGTTATTTTATTAAAAAAATTTAAATTATTTTTGTATTTAGAAAAGAGAACAATAAATATTTTAATTAAAAAAAAATAAATAAAAACAGTAGAATTTAGAAGAGCCCGAATAGAACAAAGCAAAGGAAGAGCAATTAATTCTGCTGAAGAACCACGAGAATTACATTTATTTAATAATCTTTGTAACATTTCCAATCCTCCAGCACCAAGAAATTGTTCTAACCAACTTTTAAATTAAAAAATAATTTAAATAAATTTTTTGATTATTTAATTGTGGAAATAAATAAAGGATGAATAAAGGACACTTTTTATGTATTTCCCCATTCTATTTGTATCAGCGATTTCATTCTAATTAGGTATCCTCTAATAGTTTTAGGGTTCTAATAAATTCAACTCGTTAAAGCTTGCTTTAAAAATTTTGGTAAGGTTTTTAAAATTATTCTGGGAGGTTGGTCCTCCAGCACCAAGAAATTGTTCCTTAAAAAGTAGCGGGATACCGAAATAATCATGGAGAATGTGTACGGACTGGAATTTAAAAAGATCGAGATTCATTAACTGGCCGTTATTTAGTTTTAAAAATTTCAGGCATATTTAATATTATTATTAAATGCTTTCTAACTTATTATAGGTCAAAAATAATGTCATAATATTCTAATAAATGAAAATAAAAATATTTTTTTTTAATTTTATTAAATGTTTACTAGTAGTTAAATTACCTAAAAGATTCAGTTCGTAATGTTGCAGCCAACCCCTCTAATTTTTTAATAACTAAATTATTTTCAATTACAAAGTCTTTTTCTTCTTCTTCAATATTTAATAATAATTTTTCCAAATATTTAGCATAATAATCTCCCCCTCCCTCCTTAATATTTTCTTTTTGTTTTTGTCTTTCATTTCCAGATATTATAACTTTCCATTTCCATTCTAAAGGTTGGGAAATTAATTCTGCTTGGCATTCTTCATTTAAATCTAAATCTGACAGAATTTTTAGAAATGTTTGTTCAATTGATTCTATATTGTTTTGTTGTGAATATATTGAGGAATTTAGGGAAGAAGAATTAAATGTTTTGTTGGTTTTGTTGTTGTTGTTGCATTTATTATTCTAAAAATATTTTAAATAATTAGTAAGAGACAATATATAATTATTTTTAAATTAAAATTAATTTAATCTCATTCTTACATATTTAAATATACTTAAAAACATACAGATTCAATAAATTCTTTATTGCCAACAACAACATTTTCTTTTTCAAAAAAACAACTCCATGCCTTATCTATAAAGGCTTCTAACATTTCTTTTAAATTCTAAAAAATAATTAAAAATAAAATTTAATTTAAGAAAAATTTTGAGAAAATTTTAAATAAAAATTAATCAAAAATAAATTTGGAGAAAGAAAAGAAAATTAAAAAATAACTAGAAAATTAAAGAAAATTCCAAACAAGTTAATTTTCGTCATCATTTAAAAAAAAGTTTTTAAATTATTACTCTTTTTTAATTAAATGAAACATTCGAAAATTAAAAGAAAAAAATTATAATAATTTTTGTATTTTTTAAAAAGAATTTAGTTAAATTTTTTTGAAAATTAAATAATACTCAATAAATTTAAATAAAAAAATATTTTTTTATGGATTTACACATTTTCTGAAATAATCTGCAAAAAAGAAAGGGAGAGAAGGGGAGAGACAAATTTTAAATAAAAATAAAAATATTTTTTTTATTATTCTCGAATATAAAACTATTAATCTTGTAATCATAACACACTTTTATAAACAATTTCTTATAAAAAATCATTTTTGCAAACATCTGGGAATAAATCATATAAAGTTCTTCTATTTAATTTAATTTAAAAAAATAAAAAATAGAAATAAATGGGGATATTAAAATAAAAAGGTAAAAAAATATTGGAAATATTAGAGTAGTTGTAGTGAGAAAAAAGAGAGTTTTTGAGCTTTTAATAATAACGGGAAATCGCAAAAAACGTGGACAAGCAATCAAAAATTTAATGAAAAGGATTTTCTGTTGATGGACTTCTGGGGAGGAAACAGGCTTTAATAGAGTGAAATAAAGCTTTCACGCCGTTTATGTGCCAAAATCCTTGAAAGGGGTTAAAAAGGGAAAAAGATTTAAGAAATTATTTGAAGAATAAAAATGAAAAAATACTCGAACTACATAATTGGCAGAATATAAAAAAAATACTTTAATTTATTAAAAATAGAATTTTTTCTTCTTTGTTTCTATAAAAGTGAAAAATAAACTAAACAAATTAATATAATTAAATAAAAATATTTAAAAGCTTCTTATTTATTTTTAATTCCATAAATAAATTTTTGTCTATTTTTCCTTAAAAATATTTATTCTTTACTCAGATGCGCAATAAACTAAATTAATTGAGGGAAATAATGCCAAAAGACAAGAGAGAGAATGAAAGAAATTTGAAAGAAGAAAATATATGCTTTATTTTATTTACTTTTCCCTCTCCTTCCTCATCCAAAATTTTTATTTTTCTTCTTCCTTCCTTTAGTCTTCATTTCTTAAAATGGGTATATAACAACCACTTGGTCAAATTAAAAATAAATAATTCTTTTTATGTTTATTTTTTTTGGATATAAGAGGGGCAAGCAGATGTTTATAAAATAGAGAGAATTGTGTGGACATAAAAGAATTGGAAAATATTTAAGTGGATAAATAAATACTTGGCAAAATCTTTTGTAGTAGTAATTCTATTTGGGCTCCAGAAATTAAAAGAATAAGGAAATTTTGGAAATATAAATCTTAAACAATAAAAAATACACAATTAAATCTGGTAGAAGAATGAGGGATGGCTGGATGGATTTTGAGGAAAAAGGGAGAAGAAGAACGTAGATGAGAGGGTGGACACTTCAAGGACATTCACCCAATTTTAAACTTTGGAAGGAAAAAATTTAGGCAATGAAGAGGATTTGAAGATTGTAGGGAAACACGGAAGAGGAAGGAAATGAAGAGGGGAAAATGAGAGGAGGAAGGAGGGAATAAAGGATAGCCTTAGGGGGAGCGTAGAAGATGATCTCAGCGGGTGGCAGGCTGCCGGCTATTCCGGGGAGGGAAAGACAAACAAATAAATAAATAGATGGCAATTTGGCTATTGAAGGACATGAAAATTAGAAAATAAAAAAAAGAAGAAAAGTTGATTTTTGTAAGAGGAATATATTTATTTTCTGCGCATTTTGAGGGAAGCTAAATTGGAGAAAGAGAATAAACGATTTGAGGTGATTGCCTTTTTTGAGTTTATCCAAAAACAATTTGTTTGTTTTTCAAATATAAATTGTTATGTTTAAAACGATTAAATGAAGAAAAAATAAATAAAAATTGTGACCTTCATGAATAAATTTTGGAAACAAAAAAAAAATAAATTTTCTGTAAATATTAATGGGATCTTTATTAATCAATGAAAGTTTGGACGATAACTTTTTAGGATTATTTTTTAAAAAGTTGAGGATGGAACTTTTAAAGTTTTTTAAAATTATTCAAAGCTAGAAAGGACTTCTTTAAAAAATTAATTCAAAAATGTGAACGAGAAAAGGATTAAATATTTGTTTACAATAAAATTAAATAAAAATCGTAAATCAATTTCTTTTACAAAATTACTACATATTAAATATCTTCCTTTTATCCCAGGAACGTGGAATAAATAAAAGAATTGGGGTCATTATATTTGAGAGCTATGTACGTATAAATAATTATTTGGAATATTAATTAAAATTTAAATTTTGTAAATTAATTTAAATTTATCAGGGGAATATATTTATGGTAGAATAATTTATTCTATGTAAAATTATATACAAATATACAAATATATGTAGTTAAAAATATGTAAAAATATAAACAATTGTGTAACCTATACACGCATAAAATTACGCAGAGACGATTAAAAAATAACTAGAAAATAAAAAAAATAACATTAAAAACCAAACAATGTCATCCAATTTAGTCCTATTTTTGTTTAGAAATTAAAGTTTTTTGTCAGGTAAAGATTCTTCCAATTAAAAAAAATTAAAAAATATAAGGATGGGAATCAAAAGTGATTGGCTAGTAAACTTTTTGGTTATATTTTTTCTGCAAAAAAAACAAAAAAATAATTGTTTTGTTTAGCGAAAACAAAAAAAAAGTAGAACAACAGGGCAGCAAAAGCATTAAAAGCCATTCAGGCAAATTAAAAACGTTTTTCTATTTAATCGGGCCAAATAGTGCGTGAATGGCCTCTTGAAATATAAAAACATTTTTTTATTAATAAAAATAATATTTTTTTCAAGGAGATAAATTTATTATTATTTTATTTGTTTTTGATTTAATTCTGAAGTGAAAAAAAATAATTTTTATAAAAAAAATAAGTGGGTGCTCTGAATGGTTGTGAATAAAAAAGCTGGAACTGAGTGAGGGAGGGAGGGAGGGCTGATTTTTGAATATAAAAAAAGAAATTTTGGAAATACAAAATTAGTTGGAGAGGGAAAAAAGAATGAGGGAATTGGGTGCGGAAAAGCCGATTAGTGAGAGATTTTTGGGGGAATTGGGGGAGGAATATGTAAGAGGAAAAGCTTTAAATATATTTGTTGCCTTCTCAAAATTTAAAGCAATGGCAGAAAGCGCGAAATGGATGAAAAGAAGAAAATAAATAAAAGGAAGTGTGTTATTTGTGTTAGAAGAAAGAAAAGAGGGGGAAGGAATGATCAGCCTCGATGGAAGATTTTGAAAAGGATTTTTGAATAAAATAAGAATTTGAGGCGATTTACGGGGTAGGGAATTGTGGAGTAAAGCTGAAAAGCTACTTTAGAAGTATTAAGGGATTAATGAAACGTCATCATAAAATTTTGAATTTTTTTATTTATTGGTCAAAAAGAATGGAGGACTATATAAAAATGGGCAGATTGAGGAGGGTTATTCATTTAAATAATGATATATTTTATTTAAAAATTTGTTTTATTATCTTTCTATTTTTTATTAAAATTTGTTATTTATTTTTTTTAGATTCACTATAAACGCCCTATTTATAGCCTGGCTCTATTAGAAGTCTATATCCAATAAAAATTGACTTATTAAAAAATTGAAGCTAAAGGCATTACTTAGAGTATTCAAGGTTTTCAAAACTGGCATTTATCAGAAAACTTAAATAATTTTGTTTCAAAAAAATCTAAATAAAAAATCCATTTTTATAAGTAAATAAAAATATTTAATGAATGAGAATGTACATTTATTTTTAAAGTTCTATTTTCGTTTATTTTCTTTTTATTTGTTTGTTGCGCAAATATTGTTATGCGTCCCTTTCTCGCCTTTATTTTTGTGGTCTAGTTTTCATTTTCATAAAATGTTGAAAATGAGATGTCCGGGTAGTTGTGGGGGTGGTGGTGGTCAATAAAGAATTAGTTTTCTTTAAAACTTTTTCTTTCTAAAAATTTCCGCCTTGTGCACACAAAAATGTTCTTTTTACTTGCCTAATTAATTAATTAATTTTTTTCTTTTGATTTTTCACACTTTAAATATTAAACGGAAAGGAAGAAAAAAGAGCGGAAGCATTTAATATTTAGTAGGCAAGTTTCCTTTCTGTTCACTGATCGTTACAAAAATAAAAAAGAGAAAAGCCGCTGAAACTCTCGACTTTTGAAAGAACGCCCAAATGAAATGTGGCCTTGGCCGAAAATTGAGAGAAAATATATGTAATTTTACAATTTAATAAAAGAATATTAAATTAATTAGAGAATAATAATTAAAAATTATTTATTAAAAATATTTTTATTGGCTTAAATCGAGTTTTGTATTACTAAATGATTTAATGAATGAGAAAATAATCCAAGAAATTATTCATCAAAAAAGGAATGAGACAAAACAATCTTTTCGCCAATCATTTAACCTAACAATTTATTGCTTGCTAAAGGCATTGGAGAATATTTAAAAAAAAGATAGGAATTTATTTCTTCAAAAAAAGAGGAAAATACAAAAAATATTTCTTTTTTTTTAATTTATATAATTCTTTTTTTACCTTCCCAACAATTTTTAAAATTCTTTTTCCTTCTTTAATCATCTAAAATGATTAAAGAAATAGAAATTAAATAAATATATTTGCCTTCTTCCTACCTCTTTTTCCGTTCACTTTTCATAACAAATATTAGAAAAATCTCTGAGAAGTCCAGGCAATCCTTTAATCTTTAAAAAAAAATAAATTAAAAATATAATTTATTTATTTACAATTCTATAATTAGTATTTCCTTCATCTGTTTTTGAATTAACAGCAATAGCTACCCAATGAATATTTGTTAAATAATTCTATTTTTAAATAAATAATTTAAAAATATTTATTTACTTTTAAATACCTCCAAATAAGCAACAGCCATCTAAAAAAGAGAATTATTTTAAAAAAATTTCAAAAATTTCTTTTTCAACCTCAACTTTATCTCCATATTCAAAAGATTCATTTATAAAAGGATCATTTTTGCCAACAAGTACTTGTCCAAGAATTTCATCTTTGCAAATATAAAATTGATCGTTATAAATATATTCAAAACAGTCAATTACTGCTTTTACCTTTTTAAAAAAGTTTTTTTTAATTTATTTTTTTATTTTTCATTTACTTGAATTGTTTGTTCAATTGGAGAAACTGGACGTCTAGCTTGTGTAATTTGAAAATTTTCTGAATCAGCTAATCGTTTATATTGACATTCAATAAAAATATTTTCATCTGTTGGGGTAAAAAGAACCCATTTTCCTGGGGAAATCTTTAAAAATATTTTTTTATTTAATTTAATTTTAATTTTCACTTTTTGACCACAAATAACATTTTCACCAATTTCAGAATTTAAAATAATTGAATAAACAAGTCCTTCATGTTCATCTGTTTTTACACAAATTCCAAGTTTTTTAATCATTATTTTAATTTAAAATTGATTTAAAAACAAATTAATATTTTGAAAAATAATTTTTAAAAAATTGAAGAATTAAATCTAAAAAATAAAATAATTGTGGGAAAAATTCCGTCATAAGTCCCGGAAACCGATTCATACAAACAATATGTCATTTGAAAGAGCTCGGCGAGCTGAGTCGAATGACACCAAAATTAGGTCCCGGTCTCACCCATGGACCGAGATATAGGCCCCCGAAAATCGAAAAACCATAGGGGGGACCAAGCACATTTTTGGGGTGAAAAATTCGAAAATGCAAATTATACCTCATTCGAAAGAGCTCCTCGAGCTGAGTCGAAAGACACCAAAACCGCCGTGATTGGTCAAGTTTTTTCGAAGTTATGACTAAAAAACGAACAACATAAACCTATGGGGAGGCGGCGAGGCGCTTGTGCAAAAGTTTTGCGGCACGCGCCTCGCGGGGAGTCTACGGGCGCTGGGTCTGGGCTCGTAACTTAATCCTATTCCAATTATCGCTGTGATGGTCATGCCCGGCTTCCTCCGCAGCAGCATGAACATCCGCTGAGAACAAAGGTAAGGAGCTAAAACAAACGATCATAACTTTGTTAAATCAAATCAGATTTCGTTGATTTTGGTGTCTTTCGACTCAGCTCGAGGAGCTCTTTCGAATGAGGTATAATTTGCATTTTCGAATTTTTCACCCCAAAAATGTGCTTGGTCCCCCCTATGGTTTTTCGATTTTCGGGGGCCTATATCTCGGTCCATGGGTGAGACCGGGACCTAATTTTGGTGTCATTCGACTCAGCTCGCCGAGCTCTTTCAAATGACATATTGTTTGTTTGAATCGGTTTCCGGGACTTATGACGGAATTTTACCTAATTGTGAAATTAATTGGATAGAAAATTTTCATTTAGCCTATTTTAATACATAAACATGATTTTAAATATATATAGAAGAAACACAAACCTAAAATTTAATTGTAAAATAACAAAAACTAATAAATTAATCCTTACCATTATGTGACATTGACCTTTTGTAATAACTTGAGAGAGGAAAATATGAGGAAAGAAGAAAAAGACAAATAGGTGAGAATGAGACGAAAAGTAACAAGACTAATTTCAATTTCACTCACTCATTAGTATAAAAAGATCAAAGTCTCTGTTAATTACCACAATCTCTTCAAACATCATCAGACTCGTCAATCTTCACAACAAATCGTCAACTCAAATCGTCTGGCATCATGGCTCCTCGCAAGGTTGCTGCTGCTACGACTCCAGCAAGAGGGCGCCCGGCTTCAGCTAGAGGACGTACTGCTACAGCAAAAGCACGTACTGCGGCTACTACTACAGCGAGAGGACGGGGACGTCCACCAAAAAGTCGTTCGGCGAGAGGGCGCTCAGCTTCATCTAAAAAACGTGCTTCTTCGGCAAAAGGACGTGCTGCTCCATCGAAAGGACGTGCTACTCCATCAAAAGGACGTGCTACTCCATCGAAGGGACGTGCTACTCCAGTGAGTGAACGTAGTCAGACAAGTGATTCAGAAGCAAGCTTGAGGTAAAAACAAATTTTGTTCTTTCCATTAAAATGTTTCATTTTCAGATCTCATCCAGCAATTTGTTCTCAATGTGGACAAGAAATCCAAGCTAAGGACCAGGCAAAGATGAGCGTTCGTGGCCGAAGTTCTACTCCTCGGTAAGGAGCTATTTTATAATTTTAATTAAATGTAAAATGTCCTTTTTTAGGGGAGGAAGCCGTCGATCATCGAGAGCCGTTTCTGCACCGCAAAGTTCTGCGAAATCATCGGGAGCAAAGAATCTCTCTGATCGTGAAGGCTCTTCTAGCAAAAATCAGACCAAAGCTGCTCCAAAACGACGCGGACGCCCACCAAAGAAGGCAACATTCGTTGTCAAGTCTACATCGTTTGTGCTGGCAGCATCCTCGCGTGGATCTTCTACTCCTCCAGTTCGTGGTGGCATACTTCTTCGTTCTGGCAAAGAGCTTCACTCAAGTCAAAAGTCTCAACGTCGATCTTCTGTCAGTCAACGCAGTGTGCGCAAAGGTCGCGGACGTCCGGTTAGGGCAAAAGCCTGAAGATGTAAAGAAGAAGAAAATAATAACAAAGTGTCTTAGGACCCAACTTGTGATTTGTTATGTACATATTCTCCTTCCCATAATCATTATTCTTGATGTACATAATTTTGTATTGTAATCTCATTCACTCATCTCCTCTATACATAATATGTGGCCAAAATTAATGTATATATTTGTATTGTATATATTATATGTATTTCCATTCACCTTGCTGATATTTGTGGCCAAAAATATATATACTCATTTTCCCTTTTGTGGTGATTTGTATAGAATTTGTGAATAAATAAATAAATAATTTAAGGCTTTTTCATCATTAAAATTAAGATAATAAAGGAATGGAAAGTGTTAAATGTCATACAGATAATTTAACGCTTACCTTTTGACTCCAATTGTTTCTTTCTTTTCACTTTAATTTTAATAATACGGATTACTAATTGTGTTAAGTAAAGTAAAGTAATTTATTTTTTAATTTGATTGACCCGGAGATTTGCATGAATAAATATAAATAAAATACCTCTAGCTGTTTATTTTTCAATAAAAAAGCGTGAAAGAAGATTCCATCCACAACGAACATCATTAAAATTAATATATTTTTGTCTTTCAACTGTTCTATTCTTTGGTTATTTACCGCTAATGGATATGGCCGTGAAATGGAAATTGTAATTGTTAAAAGGAATGAATGGATTTATTCACCTTTCATAATATTTTAATCTAAAGCTTTTTTCTCGCTTATTTCTTTTCCTTCAAAATTATCTAGTCTTGTTATCAAATGTTAAATCCATTAAATTGTTTGTTAATTTTGAAATTTTAAAAATATTTTTCTTCATTTTAATTTATTTTTAGCATAATATAAATAATATTCCACTTTTTCTCTCTTTATTTTTTTGCTCAATACTTTTTTAATAAAAGTTGATTCGTTTAGTCAATGTAAACGGAAATGCTGATTGTCTTTTTTTGGCATTTCCTTGGTTTTATTTATATTTTGTAGAGAGAATATTAAATAATGTTTTTATAAAGATTTAATTAAATAAGAAAATTATTTTCTTTTTAATTTATTTTGTTAATTTAGAATTTAATTTTCCAGAAAATTAACTTTTTTTAAAAAAATTTATTAAAATATCTAAAATTGCTTTATATATTTTGCATTTTCCCATCATAGTAAAGCACAAAGAAAAATAATCAAAAAATAGGAAAAGACTTATTTTAGACTGTCCTGTGAAAGCCAATTTTGGCCATCGAATTTAGATGAAATAAAAATATTTCTCTATTATTATTCAAAGGAATATTAAAAAATTGTTGAGGGCTTTGCCGGCTGTGATCAAAAAAACAACCAGCTGCAATATTAAAAAATTAATTTTAATTTTTAATAATAAAAATAAATTTTAAATAATTATGCCACCACAATTATTAAAAACCGTTTTTAAATTATTTTAAAGTTTTGATTAGGGTAGTTCACACTTGGGTGTCCGAACCGATCCGAAAATGGGATTGAAAGTAGAGATCAACACCAAATAACCGATTTTAGGCATGGGTTTGATTAGCCCTTTTTAAATTTTTTTTCGAATAATTTAATTGCCAATTTTTTCTTTTTCCCATGTAAAAAAAAATTATTAAATTAAATATTTTTATTAATACAAAAATATATTTAAATAAATTCTTTTATATATATTTTTCCTTCAAGAGAACATCGCAAAAATCATTTCCGATTTTCTCTTCCGTCGCTCTAATTACACCGCCATAACTCTTCATTTCTATGTCCTTTTCTTCTAACAAAACCTCCTTCTCCCTCACTTTGTTCGAGTTTTTTCATCCACTCACACATTCATTATTAGTTATTGGCCTCCTCTCTCTTGTGGACTTTTTTGTGGAGGGAAGAGGTAGGGGGGGGGGGATTTCTTCTTTTTTTCTCTTGTTCATTTCATTGTTGTCCTTCGTATTTAGATTTTTGTTGTTGGTAGTGATCTCTTTAAGTAATTCTGCTGGCCTTTTTTTTGTTTTCGCGCGGCTGAATGACAGAAGAAGAAATTAAATAATTGAGGGAAAAAGGAGAAATTAGGACCATCAACACCCGTTTTAAATTTGCAGTGCCAGCAATGAAAACCTTTTTTGTGTTCAACGTATTTTTATTTTCATTTAAAAGCCCTTCCCTCATTTTATTTTCTTTGTAAAGATCACTCAACTCAATTTTTTAAATTTTACTCACAGCTGCAAAACCGCACAATGCGCGCCAACCAACCAGCCAATATATAAATATTTTTTAACCTCTTTAAATAAATAATAAATACAAACAAAATTTAATAAAAAAAGCAAATAAATAAAATTATTAAATAAATAAATATTTATTTTTCTTCATAAAATTATTTATTTAAATTCCTTTTATTTTTAATTACTTTTAAAGTTCATTTCTATTAATTTATTAGCAATAAAAATTGCCGGATCCTTTCTATTAAATATTTTTTTATTAATTTCCCAAGTATTTCTTCTTTCCTCAATATGTTTTCAATCTCAAACATATGTGTTTATATATTTTGTTTTGTTGCTTTCTTCTTCCTCAAAAAGTTTGAATAAAATTACTAAACTTCCGGAATAATATTCTTCTTTTCTTCCAAAAATAATATTTAATTATGTCCTTGTCTTTTCATTTCCTTTTCCATATATCCCCTACCCCCCCCCCCCCCCCCCCCCCATAACAACCTTTCCTCCTCCTCTTCTTTAATTCCCTCTCTTTTTTTATTAACTAATTTATTTATTAATAATCAACCTCCTCCTTTCAAGTTCATCTTCATCTTCTATTACTTCCTTCAAACATTCCTCCACAAAATTCTTTCGTTGCCCTGACAAGAAGGCGCCAAGTTGAAGAGGTGTGTGTGTGTTAATGTAGTAAACTTGTACATACATACCTTTTTTTTTATTTA